CGTCTGTGCGACGTCCTGACTGTTACGTAAAACAGACACGGAAGACCTGGGGCGTGCCAGCACAGGTCTCTGAAGGACCTTCAAGGAACTGGGATGAACTGGGTGTGGTGGCACACACCTGTTTCCCCAGCAGCTCAGGAGTCTGAGGCAGGGGGATGGCAAGTTCAAGGCCAGCCTCAGCAACGTAGTGAGACCCTGTCTCAAAATAAAATGATGATGATAATAAAAACAGTGGGCTGGGGATGTGTTGAGTGGCCCTGGATTCAATCTCTGGTAGCAAGCAAAAATTTAAAAAAATAAAGAATATTGTGTTCCTTCAGGAAGGAGAACTGGGCAGTAGGTAGGGAAGGAAGTTTTTACAGTAGAATCTGGAGAACTTTTAAAATGCTGGAAATCCTCTTCTTATTATTTTTGAATTTTTAGTTGTAGAAGGACACATTACCTTGATTTTATTTATTTCTCCGTGGGGCTGAGGATCGAACCCAGTGCCTCACACTTGCTAGGCCAGCCCTCTGCCACTGAGCTACGACCCCAGCCCCCCCGGAAATCTTCTATATGAAGTGAAAGTAAAATATGTTAGGTTAAAACAGCATGGTACCTTAAATATCTAACTATTAATTCAGATATTATTAAATGTCAATGCAAATGCTCATCTATGCAACTGATCTTGATACGTTAGTGATTTAACATAAAAATCAAACCACTAAAACCGTGTACTGTGGAGCGACGGAAGTGGGACTCCTGAGAAGTTGGCCTTTATTCAGGTTTCTCCAAACCTGAATAAAGAGGGGAGCTTCTCAGTGAAGGGATCCAGACTGCCAGGGCCTGGATGCTTTGGGGCGTCCCAGGTGAGGGACGGTGTGAGGATCCAGAGCGCTGACAGCCTCGGGCTCCTTGGGGACAGCACCAGTTTGAAAGCTAAGTTGCATTTAACCCTCGGGACCCGCTGGTGCCTGGAGCGGGCTCCCTGCCCCCCTTCTTCCTTTATCTGGGGAATAGCGTTCCTCTGTGTTGTCACCACTCTGCCGTCTGGGCAGCCCTTTGAGCAGGAGCTGTCTAGGCCTCGGGAAGTCTGCAGGCTTGCAGGGGTGGGAGAGAAAGACACTCCTCTCACAGTCTCATCCAGGGACCACCGGGGGCCTGGGGCCTTCCAGGGGCCATGGCTGATCTGGCGTGTCGCACTGACTGGGCTGGGGGTGCCCCGGTGGCTGGCGGGATGCTTCCTCAGTCATTACGGCGTCCATCCCAGCGCGCCAGTCCCTTTTCTGAAGACTCCCAAATCACTGAGATCAAGGCCTGCGCCACCATGTCTGGCATCACCCCCAATTCTACACCCCACCCCTGGCAACCGCCACCGCACATCTGTCTTTATGGATCTGCCTCTCGGGGTTCACTACCAGTGGATTCAGACAGCGGAAATGACAGGCACTTCCTCTGAGCGGGAGGTTCTTGAGGTTCACTTATGCCGCAGCATCTGTTGGCTCTTTGTTTTGATGGCTGAATGATATTCCACGGTCGGCTAAATAGTAATCCACTGTAGGCACAGACCACCTTGTGTTTGCCGCTCATTAGTTAAAGGTCACTTGGCTATTTCCACTTTCTGACTATTACGAAGAGAGCATCTGTGGATAGCTATGCTCAAGTGCCTGTGTAGACTCCCATTTTGATTTCTTTCGGGCATGTACTTCGAAGTAGAATTGTCAGGGCTGGGGGATATAGCTCAATTTGTAGAGTGCTCGCCTCGTTGGCACGAGGCCCTGGGTTCGATCCCCAGCACCCCAAGAGAAAAATTAGTGGAGTGTGTGTGTGGCTCGGTGTTCAGCATTTTCAGGAGCAGGGCTCTCCTCCACAGAGGTGAAAGAGGGGAGCTCTGGTTCCTCTGAGTCCTCGAATCCTGGCCAGCACTGGTTACCATCCCTCTCTTTTTTGGTGCTGGGGATTGAACCCAGGACCTTGTGCCTGTGAGGCCAGACTCTACCAACTGAGCCACATCCCCAGCCCCCCAGCTCTCTTTTGTAATGCGTCAGTCATCCGAGGGTGTCTATGAGAATCTTGCTGTGGTTTTACTTGCATTTTCCTGGCGACTAACAATGTGGGGCTTCTTCCCTGTGCTATTGGCCACTTGCAAATAAATATTTTTAATTAGGAACATTTAGTTTATAATAAGGTAAACATCAATCAAGATCACCCAAACTAGAAAAATAAGCTCTTTGGGGTTCTTACTAAATTTTAAATGTTCAGAGGCCCCTAGACCATAATCCAGCTAGAGTGGGTATGTATGGGGCCCCTCTCCCCCAGAGTTCCCGGGGCATCTCCAGATCCAAGGGAGTCAGGAGGTGCTAGCTGTGGGGTAGAGAGCTGAGGGGATCACAGTTCTTACTTTTTTCTTCAATTGCGACTGGGGGTGAAAGAGTCAGCCATTCGGATTCCAACGGGATCAGAAGCAGGGAGCAGGGAGCAGGGAGAGAAGTAAGCATTAGGCTCAGATCAGGACAGTAACCAAGAAGACTAGAGCAGGTGTGTCCCTGGAGGGAAGATGATTCATCCACTCTTAGTATCAACGAAGCTACCCAGGTCATCTGTCTGCCCATCCATCCATCTACCTGCCACCCATCTCTCCATCCACCCAACCCTCATTCACCCATCTATCCATCCGTCTGTCTGTTGTCTATCCCTCTACCTATCCATTGTCTGCCTATCCATCATCCACCAACCTCCATCCAACCATCCACCCAATCATCCGCCCAACCATCCACCCAACTATCTATCCGACCATCCACTCAACTATCCATCAGCCATCCACCCAACCATCTACCCAACCATCCACCAACCGTCCACCCAACCATCTGCCCAACCATCCACCCAACTATCCATCCGACCATCCACTCAACTAAGCACCAACCATCCACCCAACCATCCACCCAACCATCCACCCAACCCTCCATCCGACCATCCAACATTCCCTTGGTCTACACTCCAGACACTGGTCTATACCTCTTGCTAGAGACACAGAAACATCAGACACAGCCCTGCTCTGTGGGCCTTTGCCAATCTGATGGGAAGAGAGCTGTGGGGGCTGTGGGGGCAGGAGTAAATAACGCTTCCCAAGCCCTGTGCTCATGGAACTTGGAATCTGTGAATGTCTCGGTCATCCGCCGACACTTCAGACTCAGCCAGCCCAGAGGGAGGTTCTGGTCATCACTCTGCTGCCCACAAAATGCATCTATCCGTGCAGTAGATACCCAAGAGTCCACACGGATACAAAAACTTGAAGGGGAAAAAAGTGAACGAGGGAGAAGGGTCAGCTCTCCCTTACAGAGAAATTCCATTAATGCATGTGAAAGGAACAAGGGGGACAGGAAAATGGCCCTTGGAGGAACACTACAGCAATCCCATCTGCAGGCGAAATGCACAGACGGAGGCTGAAACCAGCAGGCGGACGTGGAGGAGAAGCAGGGTATCTACAGATTCTCCGGGTACTGCCCCCCCGAGAGGTGGTGCCCACCACGGAGAACCGGTGACGAGAGCTGGCAGACCAGCTGCACCAACGTGCCAGAGTCAACGTGCGCAGTGAGACCCACATCTGTGGCACTCCTGTCCCAAATGCCTGACCTCAGTCCCCTCCAGGGGGAGCTGGAGACAAACCCGGGTGGAGAGACATTCCGAGAACCACTGACCAGGGCTGTCCCAACGTCCTGAGCTCCTACAGACAAGGGAGACCGGGGCCACGGAGCAGTCAGCCTGGAGCCGGTGGCCCCGAGTGAGGAAGCGCTAAGAGGACCCCGGCCGGATGCTCCAGGAGAGGCCTCCGTTAGGGAAAGGGGAGGAATCTGAGTGCCACCTGTCTTTAGGCCACAGCTCTGTGTGGCGTGGCTCCCGTGTGCTGCGGGGCTGCGGTAGGAAGGAGCGACGTTGGGGGAAGCAGGTGAAGGAACTCGGGGACCTTAACTCCTTATTCCCTGACTTCCCGCACCGGGTCCCCACTCTGCTCCTCCACGTCAGTCACCTGCTCCTGCTGCTGTCCTCCTTGGTGACTGACATGTCTGAATTCGTGACTTGGCTTCTACTCTGATTCCCACCCAAACCATTCCTCACCCTGGGGAAAAGCTGATTCTCTCTCTCTCTCTCTCTCTCTCTCTCTCTCTCTCTCTCTC